AATACATAGGTACACCTTGAACTTCCAAGTTATGCACAATGCTGACTTAGCACTATTTTGTCAAATTTTCACTGTAATTGGGTCAACGACCTGGAACTGCCTGCCTGAGATAATCTAACCACTGCCCTTTGGCATTCAACAGTGTTACCATCACTGAATCCCACACTATCAACATCCTGTGTTTATCATTGACCAGAAACTCAACTGGACTCACCACATAAACACTGGCTACAAGAGCAGGTCAGAAGCTAGGAATACTGCGGCGAGTAACCCACATCCTGACTCCTCAAAGTCTGTCCACCATCAACAAGGCACTAGTGAAGAGTGTGATGGAATACTCCCTACTTGCCTGGATGAGTATAGCCCCAATAACACTCAAAAAGCTTGACACCATCCAGGACAATGCAGCCCGCTTGATTGGCATTACATCTACAAGCGTCCATTCCCTCCACCACCGATGCTTAGTAGCAGCAGTGTGTACAATCTATAAGATGCACTGCAGAAATTTATGAAATAACCTCAGATAGCACCTTCTAAACCCAAAAGGTCAGACAGCATCCAAGGAGCAGGAAAGTCAACATTTTGGGCTGAAACCCTTTGTCAGGACTGGGGAGGGGAAGGAGAGCACAAAAGTAAATATGGGGTGGGGGGTAGGATTAAGGGAAGGGTAGGTGGGATAGTGGTAGGTGGATACAGGTACAATATTATTATGATTAGTCAGTGGGAAGGGTGGAGCGGATACATCAGGTCAGGGAGGTGAGGAGGAGAGAGAGGGCTGGACGCAGGATAAGGCAGGGGGTGGCAGGATTTTGATGCTGGTGAAGTCAATATTGAGGCCATTGGGCTGTAAGCTCCCAAGGCGAAATATCAGGTGTTGCTCCTCCAGTTTATGTTTGGACTCATTCTGACAAAGATGGACATGTCGCCAGGGGAGTGGGAGGGGGAATTAAAATGGGTGGCAATGGAAGGTCAGGTTGGTTGGTGCATGCAGAGTGCAGATATGCTGTGAACCAGTCCCAGAGTCTGCGTTTGGTCTCCCTGATATAGAAGAGACAACATCGGGAGCAATGGATACAATAGATCACTTCATCCAAAAGTGCAGATGAATCTCTGCTAGATCTGGAAGGATTGTTTAGGGCCTTGGACGGCGGTGAGAAGGGAGGTGTAGGGGCAGGTGTTGCATCTCTTGGGGTTGCAGGGAAAGGTACCAGGTGCAGTGGAGAAGTTGGTGGGGTGTGTAGAGCTGACGAGGGAGTCACAGAATGAACGGTCCCTGCGGAAAGCGGACAGTGTAGGGAGGAAATATCTTTTTGGTGGTGGTGTCTGATTGTAGGTGGTAGAAATGTCAGAGGATGATGCATTGGACTGAGATGTTGGTGGGGTGGTATGTGAGGACTAAGGGGACTCCATCCTTATTGTTGTTAGAGGGAGGGGGTTTGAGGGCAGAAGTGTGGGAATGGAGGAGATATGGTTGAGGGCATCCTTAATTACAGAGGAGGGGAAATTCTGGTCCTCAAAGTCGGAGGATATCTGGGATGTCTTGGAGCAAAACACCTCATCCTGGGAACAAATGCAGTGGAGGCAGAGGAATTGAGAATATGGGATTGCGTTTTTATAGGAGGGTGGATGAGAGGAGGTTTAGTCGAGTTAGTTGTGGGAGTCATTTGGTTTGAAATGGATGTCAGTGGTAAGTTGGTTTCCGGTGATGGAGGCGGAGAGGTCCAGGAAGGGGAGGGAGGTGTCAGAAATGGTCAGGTGAATTTGAGGGCGAGATGGAAGGTATTGGCAAAATTGATGAACTGCTCAAGATCCTCGCGGGAGCATGAGGCAGCACCAATGCAGTCATCAGTATAGCAGAGAAAGAGGTGAGGGATGGTACTGGTGTAACCAGCCCCCCTCCATGACAATCTCATTCACTTGGCAGAACTGGTCCTCACCCTCAACAGTTTTTCCTTTGATTCCTCCCATTACCTACGAAACAAAGGGGTGGCTGTGGGCACCTATGTGGGCCCGAGCTATACCCTTCTCTTTGTAGGATTCATGGAATAGTCCCTCTTCCACAACTACACCTGCACCATTTTTGTTTTTCCAGCTTCACATCTATTGACTGTGGCTTCCAGCATCTGCAATCCTTACTGTCTCCACCTTCCAAACACACAACGACTTCCATCTAGAAGGATAAGGGCAGCAGATATATGGGAACACCACCATCTTCACGATCCCCTCCAAGCCATTCACCATCTCTCATTGGAAATATATCACCCTTCCTTCACTGTCACTGGGTCAAAATCCTGGGATTCTCTCCCTAATGTCATTGTGGTCAACTCATAGCAGGTGAACTGCAGTGGTTCAAGAACATAGCTCACCACCACTTTCTCAAGGTCAACTAGGGATAGTCAATAAATGCTGGCCAGCCAGTGATGCCCACACCCTACAAATGAATAAAAAATGGACAATGAATGTATCCATGTCACATGGACTGCAGCGGTTCAAAAAAGTGGTACTTTACCACTTTCTTGCAATTTTTGCTGGGCAATATGTGGTGACCTAGCCAGTGATGTTCATATCCCATGCTTGAATTTTAAAATCTACTGCTTCAATGCAACAATTGTCTGCTATGTGATGTCTCTCAAGCCAGCTTGACTGTCATTGGTAACATACAACCGAATTGCAGAGTGGTGTCATGAATCAGTAAAGTGAATGGCTTTTGTTATCTATAGTTATGTGAGAGCTACATTCTGGTGAGTGAAAGTTGACAGGCTTCATTGAACATAACTATATTCAGATGATGATAATAGAGAACATTTCCTGGAAGCCCAACCAACTCAAATTCCAGTTCCATGTGACCTAACTACAGCATGATGCAGCAGCTTTTACACATGCCTAAAAGCTATACTTAGAGTAAAGAGATAAATTAATTACAAAAAAGATATAATAACATCATCTGCACTTCCAGTCACTAATGTTTTAAGAGCACATTTTACATTCCTACTAGATAAAGTCTTGAGTCGGAATGTTGTAAGGGTCTGAGCAAAACAGGGTATGGCAGTAGAATCAGACAAGAATTCCCATGATGCTTATATCATGGTCAGGAACATCTCATTCCATTATTTACACCATTAATGATTGGGGAGGCAAGTTTCTCGCTGGGCGAGATGCTGATGAAGGAGAATTATTGCTGTTAAACGTCTTGTTGACAGCACAATTCACCTCATTATTGTTCAGCTTTCTACCTTACCAAACTTACCAAACAAGCTAGATATGAGGAAAACTCAGGGATATTTGGTGACTTTAGCTCACCACCTGCTCCAAAGGATCGCTATGATGAGCACTGGGTCCCAGCATCTTAGTGTATGCTCCACAGACACTGGCCACACACATGCCATGTTCATGGACATCAGCATCCCATGTGCCAGCCTCTAAAAACCCTCGTAGCACATCTCTTATCGTCCTACAGGGTGCTTCTGCACTTCGATGCTGCACTGACAACTATCATTGTAATACTTTTGCATCACTGCCCTGAGACTTTGAGACATGGCTGCTTGCTTGCTGCACATACTGTGTGTTTGCTGTATATGACACAACACACTTCCATAAAGGAAGTTGTACACTCCCTTGACTGAGGACTGCCAACCAGAAAGGCAGGCTATCTGGTTGTGTGACTGCACTAATTGGCTTGCCATGGCATGGCAAGACAAGACAAGGATGTGGTGAGCATGCAGGTAAGTACTAGATGATTGGGCACTAAGAAAGCAAGCAAATTTGGCCTGGCCATCTGTAAATAGTGGTTTTGCTGCAGGTTTTCAGTGCTTGTTGCTGGTGTGGTCTGTGCTTCCATAGCACCCGGCCAGAATATCTGACAAAAGCCATGATGGTCATGAAAGGTTGTCAAATGCCAAACCAATGTCTGTGAATGAGGGAAATGTATGGCTGGTGCCTGCAGAATGTGTCCCAAGATGCAGTTTGATTGTATTCAGCATGCAGTTCCTTCAGGGCAAGTGGTGAGCTGAAGTTACCAGGTACTGGCTCTGATTTTCATGTCGAGTTTTCTCAGTGGCTAGCTTGATTGGCACTTTTGACAAGATAGAAAGTTGAATATTAATGAAGTGAACTATGCAATCAACAAGATATTTAAGAACCAATAACCCTTTTAATTGGCAACTCACTGCTGCCTAGTGAGAACCTCCTCATGTTGCTTGCCAAAAGCATAAGAGATGGTATAAGATGCTTCCAATATTAACATAGGCTTCAGCAGACTTCTCATCTGATCCTGCCACAAATCTCACCATAGCCCAGGTTGCTCAGAACCCTATAAAATTCTGCCCAGTTTCTTTGCCAATATGTCACTTAAGAAAGTTGCACCTCTTCCTGTATACCAGCTAATAGTTGTTAAGGATGGAAAAAGTGCAAAAGAAATTATTCAGTAGAGAAATACGTGTTACACAAAATCTTTTTTAGGTTTGATATTTCTTCAATGTTGAAAGCTGAATTATCTGATAAATAAGTGCTGAAAAAGCACTCAAGATTTTTACTGAATTATTAATTTTAGTCATGAATATGTCTAATGGGGCAAAATGTAAGATAAAAGATTCATTTCAAATATTTCTCAAAGGATGAGTGGAAGTCGGCAATGATTCAGTAACATAGGCCTTTTTATAGACGTGAAATTTCAGTCTGATAATATAAATATTTAATTTTAAAAGGATTTCAATTGTGTAATAATTTTCTAGACATTCAAATATAATGTATTTTCAAAATCTTCATGAGAAAAGAAATTACATTTTTAATGTGCTATCTTATTACTATCATTTCTCATATCGATGAAATTAGATGCTGTTTCAAACCTACATCTATTTTAACCCTCTGAACAATGAAATATTATGTAATATACAATATTGTCTAACTAGTAACTTTTGGGTAGTTGTAGTTCATATTTTTAATGTCTTTTTTATGTGTTTATTTCTTCCTGTCTACAAAAAGATGTTAATTTATTCTTATAGATGGCTGGTAGATATCATAAAAGATGAAGTCGCCATCGTCCCAGAGGACCGTAGGGCTACTCTGTCATTGGAGACAGACAACTGGTGGTAAGATTAACCGAAGGATCACCATACCTCAGTTGAGGGACAAGGTTGAGATGGCGGAACCTTCATAGTAACTTCAGCCAATATGATTCAGTTGATATGATAAATGTCAATTATTCAGTTAGGAGTCCAAACAGTGAGACTCAGCTTTGCCATTTATGTGCAGTTTTCATTTGAAGCACATTGGGGCAGACCTTGTGCTTGACCTGAATATTTTGCACGATCAGGCTATTTATATAATTCAGGATGGGCTCCAAGGACTATTTACATGATCTATTAAGGGTGTTTGCCTCTGGAATAGTATAGAATCTAATGCAGTTGTGTTAAAATCTCGGAGCAATAACTTGAAGACCAAACGAACCATGTCAGAAAGTTTAGTGCCTGCAAGATTTCAGATTCACATTGCTCCCAAATTTGGAGTTTAATTGGGGTACATGGGGCGATGAAAGGGGGTTTACAAAAGAAATGATACAAACAGAGCAGGAAGCATTGTAGTGCAATGGTAGTATCCCTACCTTTGTTCCAGAAAATCTTGTTTCAAGTCCCACCTGCTTTGAAGGTTTATCCTAACACATCCAACCAGGTTTATAGCAAAGATGCACAAACACAATGTATGTGAGCTGATATTGTAAACAATATTGGAAGCATTCAAACAAAACCCTTTATGGGTGTGGCTAGGAGCTATATTTTACAATAATACTCCATTTTCTGACTTGTCTAACCGAATGTTGAGCAATAAAGTAAGAAGATAAGGCTCCCGCTAATGTTATATAAAGTGATCATCAGCTACTTGCACATTTCTTGCTGGATTGTTTCTTCTGGCTACTGGTGCAATAAATTATGTGTTCGTTGGAACTTTGTTATACTTGGCGAAAGTTTGAATATTCTACAGGGAATGGTTATATTGTTTTGGAATTTATTTTTTATTTAAAACCTTGTGTTTGTAGCCATGGGTGGCCTAGTCAGGCTGGGAATTGAGGTTGGCTTGAAGAATGAAGAGAATCTACACAGGGCAAGACAAACTGCTCCAATAACTGAATCAAGGAATGAATGGCTGTCTGCAGGAGACTTTAGGGAGGAATTCTCTTACCTCAGATTCAGTAAGGACTAATGCATGAGCCAACTTTGCTTTGAAAGAGATTCAAGCTAAAATCTGTCAATTGCTCCAATTACAACTGCAACCTTTGAGGAGGCATGACTGCATGAAAGTACCTGTGGCACTTATCTCTTATGCATTTGACTATTTCTAGGTGACTGCTGCTAAAATAGGCAACATTTTACGGTTTTCAGAGCATCTTTTACTGTGGAGGGATGTCATGTGGATTCCCCATATAAACAGTTTAATCTTAATTCATACCATCAAAGACAAGCAGACAAAGCAAACAAGGATTTTACAAGGATTCTAAACACTCCCATGGCCATCATATTATTGATGAGATGCACATTCCCTTGTCTGTATCTCATGTAAACTTGGCCTACATTCTAATGCGAACAGGAAACACATCATGTAGGTAGATACCTGTTATCTTGGCAGCAGTCAAAATTTGGTTCGCCTGTAGTGCTCTTCTGTGTCAACTATATTTGACCTGCCTCAGAAATTTCAAAGTCGTCTGCTAGGTGTTAAAGGCTCTTTTCTGAGGGCTCATGACTCCAGTCTGGAACCTGTGTACATGGCCAATGCATGCCTCCAATAAAAGTTGCAGAACACAAAATTAGTGTCCCAAAGCAATGTTTTCACTGCCCAGATAATACTGCAGAGCACTGTGGTACTCTGCTGAGTGGGTATCAAGATTTGTGGCAGCATGCTGTATAACACCACCATTTTGAGGGATCAGCCATTACCTCCACCTATCAGGCAAGAAAGTGAAGACTAAGATCATAAAGAAGAGGGGGAGAAGGAGGAGAAAACACAATTAGAGGAAAAGGGAGGCTCCAATTTATACAGGCCCTTTTTGTCTGGGCACTCAGTGATGAAATAATTCATCATTGATATAAATAACCTCAGTCACTCAACAACAGTATTTCTTCTGTCACTAACCACCATCACATTGCCCTCTTTTAGGCAACACAAACCTACCAGAAAATGCATATTCTAAACTGATTTAATAAATTTAATTACACAATGCGTTTAACTAATCACTTGTTCTCATGCAGTTCCATGCTTTGGTGGCATGGGTTCTGAAGACTGGAATGCAGCAATCTATACTGGCTAACTGATGGGCAACAGCAAGGGCAATAGTGAGCTGAGGAGTTGGTAACAGAAATGCTTTCATCATGAAAGCAAATAGCAGTTCCATGTTATAAATGACCATTCCTGATTCACTGCTTTGAGGTCCTACTGCTCTGATGGAAGCCAGACTGATAGAATGTTATGACATCCAGGAAGTCCTTTGCGTCGTGGTATCCAGAATAGATGGAAGTTGTTTGAATGTGCAAAGTAGCAGTTTGTGATACCTGTGCAACAGTCATACCTTTGGGTTTGTTTGCGATGAAGGTGTTTAAGATCTAACGTTAACTGTGAAATCAGCCAAAAGATGCTGCTTGGTAGATTCAACCGGTATGTTGATAGAATGGTTGTGTTTGTGTGGTCTCCTACAAGTTCATTGTAGCATAACATTGATGAGAAAGGCCACTTTTCTGGTCTAACTAGAAGAATCCTGTTGAATTTACAATATGAAATTTATTGCGTTATTGCAATTATTTAGACATTATATGAAGATGATCTATATTGCTATAAAAGACTATTAGTAACACACTAGCCTCTTGTGACATGCCTGTCTGTTAGAAGCTCCCTTACTCAGGCCAAGTGGATATCAGTGGATCACACAATCACAGTGGATGGTGCTTACTCAGAGCATCGAGAAGTTTCATTGTTTTCCTCAAAGATGCTGTCTTTGAAATTTGAAGAATAATAGTCTGTTGGGTAGAAGGTGGTTGCTTTGGACTGTTTTCTTGGTTGTCCGAGATCTTGTAGTTCTGTCTTGAACAGGAAAATCTTTAGCTTATTGTATTTCTTTATGGAGAACTTTGGTGATGCACATCCATTCTTTAAAGCTGTCAATGCGGCTTCTACTAAAGCAGGCAGTCTTTTTTTTTGCAGTATCTTGGACCTTTGTATGTTGTTTGTCTCTTCATAGTGGTGTTTTTTTGTTTTCCATCTCATTTACACTATGAAACAAATATTTTATTCCAAAGTCACTTATGTCAGAAGATTTGGGTTTTTGTTCAGGTTCTACCGTGAGCTTAAAATTTTTCTTCAATTTTTACCTTGATCTTTTGTTGTTAAACATTTTAAAGTGAGATTGAAGTCAATACACACCCTTCTAGTCAGGAGTGAAAATTCTTGGTTGCGAAGTACCTAAAGATTTTCTAGTATGTCATGTCCTCTATGTTGGACAGTTGCTTGGATGTATCTTTAAAATTAAGTGCAATATTTAGCTGAATTTATGAAATGTTATGGCCCAGATCAAACCCCCTCAAACCCTAACTTATTATTTTGTTTAGAGGCAAGTGTAACGTGCTGTGTTCCAGATGTGATTTGAATAGTTCATCATTAGGATTTAAGTAAAACATAATTTATTCTTATGACAGTTAAAATACAAACAAAAATAGAAGCGTTGGCATAACATTAACTCTGTTGAAATACTAAATAAAATAATACATTATTTAAGTATTAATCTTCAACTGTTCCAAAAATAGCAGTATGCTATAAATGCATCCTTGGCAAAGGCAAATTCAGCAGTACAGATTTTCCTAACGTCGTATCTCCCTTCCAGTCCAGGAAAAAGGAACATTGAAAGAAACAATCTAGCAGAAGAGAGAGAACTCTTTTTTTTGCTGCAGCAGAGAGAGAAGGCTGTATCTAATAGCTTCAAAACCTAATTCCAAACCCCAACTGAAAGCAAAACTAAAACCCTTGGTCTGTGCGAGTTTGATCGCACCAACTCATGCTTCTTTTGTCTAATTAAAAAAAAAACTCAGGGACCTCAAAGTTACTTACCCACTGCTTCTGAAGCGGACATTCTGCTACCACTGTGGCAACATCCCTCTGCAAAAGGAACAGCATAGAACAAATCTCTCTTAAAGGCACAGTATCATCACACCCCCTTAAAAAATCATCAATGTAGATGATGGTTTTATTTCAAAGACTTCAGTCTCACACTAAAAGTACTTGACATTGTGTATGTACATTACAGTAAATGTAAGCATGCAAATAGTCAATACTACAGTCTGTTTCTTCCACCACTGAACACCTCCATCTTCAGTCATCAAAGTCGTGACAAGGCATCGGCAAGTACACTCTCGTCCTGCCACGTATAATTTTCAAATTCAGTGGTTGTAAAAATAAACTCCATCTAAACAGTCTGGTATTTTTATCCTTAGATTTTCCAAAATAATTAAAGGGTTATGATCAGTAAACACAATTGTCTCAAATACATAATTGGCAACACAAATGTTGAAATGTTACAATGCCAACACCAAACTCAGGGTCTCTTTCTCAATGGTGGAATATTTATTTTGATGAATATGCAACTTTTGGGAGAAGTCATTATCATTGGCGGTCCCTTGCAGACAAGGATGATTCTCTTCCATTCTCAGGGTGAGTTTGTAGGTGGCTGTATAGACCAATGTGGCTATGACAGTCTCTGTTACAGTTGGGTCAGGTGGTGGTTACAGTAAGGGGTGGGTGGGGAATTGGTGTGGCAGTGTGCTTCTTTTGCTGTTTTCACTTGATTTCCATTTTTTCCTGACGGCAAGTTTCAAGGTGTTCACGCCTTCCTGGATGCTGCTACTCCGCTTTGTGCAGGCAGCATTGGTGGTACCGCTCCACCCTTGAGGTGTCTGCTGTAGATAGTACACATCTTAGAGCCATATAGGAGGGTGGGAACTACCGTAGTTCTGTAAACTATGATCTTGGTATCGGATCTGAAGGTGTTTTCCTTGAAAATCTTTTTCTTCAGGTGGACAGTCTTGGGCCAGTGATTCCCAGTTGTCAGTGGGAA